CATAAATCATAGATATATTAACCGTTTTCGGAAGACGTTTCGTAGGTTGTCGGAAATCAGTTCTTCGATAGTGCGTTACATCCGCGGACTATAAATTTATAGTCCGCCGATGTATAACGGACGTTAACGTCCGTTATATATACGAAATATATTTTAAGTAATTTCATTCTTGTTGTTATTGCATGCGTTCCGAAAATTCTGCATCTAAGGACATTATTTCTCCTCCTGATTTTTAATTTTGTAGCAGCAATAGAATTGATGTTTTTTTAAAGTCTTGAATTTTTATACCTGCGCAAGAGAATGAAAGGGCTTTAGGGTCATGAGTAATTTCCGGCGCCTCTGTTCTGTAATTAACAAGTTATCAAGTATTTCATTAGAACCGCATTCAGTGGTCAATAAAGGAAGCTGTCCTTGAAGCATTGAGTTTTATAGACCTAGGATAGATTGTTCACAATAAATGCTGAGTAATACACAATTCATAACTGGAAATTGATCATCTCTTGTGAGCAAATCCCAACACCCAAGAATAAGGAGATAGTGACCAGCAATACTCAAAGTGGAAAACGTGTTAGGTTTAATTATGGCAATGCGACTTCATAACTTCAAATATCCAACTGAAATGATGAGCTCGAAATAACCGGAAACAAAAATCGTGAAAGGAACCACTGGACGAATATGGAGGCAACCTCACCATTCAAAAGATAGACGAAATAAATACGCTGTTCATATAAATATACGCTTATCGTTACAATGTATAAGCCACGTTTTGTAGCTCAGTTCATTTGAAAAATCAGAACCATAATATGGTTAAAGAATGAAGGTTACTCAGCACTATAAAACTTAATTTCGACGTCCTTACTCAGGCAATACAACAGCATTCACATTTATTTTAACTGCCTAAATAGTCTACAGTAATACAGTATGGTGTCCAATAGTCAGAGCATCTTGAAATAATATATTGTCATGAATTTTCACGAACGTCACATACAGACAGGAAGTTATGTAATAGTCGGCAAGTGGAAATAATTGTCCACTTAAAAGCCATTAAAAACAGGATAATTAAAAATTGTGTAAATAATTAGAAAGCAGTAGAAGTAATGCTTAAAAGCCTTCATGGGTCTTGGATCTTTGTCAAACTTACTTTGGCGAATGCTAGAATCACATTTTGAAAAAGCTGTATGAGCAAATGAGAATATCCAAGACCATGCTGGGAACTACTTCGTTAAAGTCATATCCACTTAAACCACCGTTCTCTTTAACGCCCTAAGTTCAGTTATATCGACGAAATCAAGTAGATATTACCAGAAATCGGAGATATATTTGGAAGGCTATCGGTATGTCGACTTGGAATTATGCTGTTTTTAATAACTTTTAAATGGACAATTATCTTCTTTTTAGCACTTTCCACTAGCCGATTATTACACAACTTCCTGTCTATATCTGACGTTGGTGAACAATTCATGACGATATACTACTTCGAGATTATCTGATTATTAAGCATTATATTATTTTAGCAAATAAAATTAGTGGTTCGTAAATGTTAGTAAGGTATAACTAGCTGAATTCTGTATGACCGAAATCGTGTAACATATTCAAGTCTCTGAAAGCGTATTTAAATCTACTGATGTTTGCTATCGTTCGCGCTTTACAATGTATTACCACCGGAGACGAGAATTTGTGGAGTACGGTGAAATGTGACACTTTTAGGTTCGACCTTTTCTAACTCCTTTTCGTTTACGAGGGAAACATCCTACTGTTGTCACAGCCCTCTACAGCCAGTAGTAGACTTCTGAACCTTAAGCAGCGGCGTGATAAATCACATATACCAACAGATGCGGTTACTAACCGTTGGACCATTTACCTTACTTGTCCACAGAAGCCTAGTTTATGACTTCAAATATGGTTTGATGAATACCACGTCGAAACAATTAATATTTGGGTACGTAAAACTATGATTTTATGATGAGTAAATGCATAATTAGAATCATAAAACACTCAAGCGTTATGCTGAACGATCATAATACTGGATTAATTCATAATCTATACCACTATAGCTTCTCATATACTCATGTTGTACGCGCACAAAGTAATCGACCTTAGCACCAAAAATATTTCACAAAACTATGTAGCCCTGAAGTCCGTTTAAAAGTACATACCTTCTTACAAGGACCGGACAATTGGAAAAGTAGTTGTTCCCCTGGCACCCTACAAGTACTCAATTATAGGTGAACGATATAAATTTGATATCAACGAAATGACATGTCACTGAAATCAATTTTACTTACAATAGTCAACTCCTATTCAACCTAGTACAATACCCAAACATCCCGATCTAAATCATTTTTGCCAATCGATTACGCCTGAAAAGTGACGCTTGCTTATAGCCTTCAGTAGACGAATATGAACTGTTTTTGAAGTTTAGAAACTTTGTACCAGGTAGGAAAATGTATTCAGTCTTACTGCTTTAAAAATGAAACCACTATTTGACAGCCAAACACGACTTTTAGATAACCATAGCCCAGTATCTGAGAAAATTCTAGTGTACACACTTCGACTAATACATCTAAGTGTCTAATATGGAAAATATATCGAACTGGATGTTGTGCCGATTAAAAAGTTTAAATTCACCAGTCTTCCTTGCAGAAAATAAACTACTGGCTTTTTCGGCTTGCTAATTTAAACCGGGTGGTTGCAAGAGGGAATACCACTCATCGTAGCCCAGTGCATTTGGGGGCCCTGGTACGGCTGAGAGTGGGAAGAGTCCGCTTTCCCTCTCGAAATGCTTTCACATGGCCACGAGTATAGCCTCTGCCAGGGAAGTCCTACTCACTGCCTTCACGTGGCGGGGGTGTTGTTTACAAAAATGAGAGGACGAAAAGCGAATGTCTGGCGCTTTAACCGGACCCCAAACCAATGGTGCACATTGGCTCCAGTATCCTGTGGGAACAAATGGCGTATGAACCAATCGTTGGTCACCGGCTTCCATGGGACTGCATCTCCTCACGATGCTCCACTGCCTTGTGGGTCAGATCTTCAGATCGAAGGCTCGGGGTGTGTCCCCTTAAGAAAACCACCTGCTTTGGTCTGGGCACCCGGGCAGTATCACAGCCCACACACATCCAATGAGATCTGTGTGGCGAATATGTATTTGGTGCCTCTTTGTACTGATATCTATGTGTTAAAATAAAATAAATAAATAAATAGCCCAGTGCGAACCGAGGAACCAGTCAGTACAACCTGTGTCTACTAAGACTTACGAACCACCAATAACTTGAACTTTTCTTCAAGAAAACCATTCAGTTCAGCAACATAGAAATACATTGGATCGCCATGATACCGTTGTGTGTGAGGATGCATAACTAATGAGCTGCTTAAACCTATGACTTCCTACTTGTAGATGGAAGTAGGTAATACAAATTTTACTTGACAGTTATGTATGGATTCGAGGTTGTCAGTAAAACCACGCTGTAAAACATCATCGTACCACCCAAGTAAAATAGCACAGAAGTCTCTATGTGATGCTTGACAGTGTATGTAAGATAGTTAAATTGTAATAATGCTTATTATACATGGTTTATCGCTAGACATGAACCTTAAAAGACTATATACTAATTGTCGACTGTTATTGTAACTCGAAAATTGTCATAAGTAATCATTTTGGGTAGGTTTTATGAGTCTTCAGGATCCGGCGACCGATTTCCCATAAATCCTTACAGATATCGTGCAAATCGTCGTGCTGAAGATTTTCCAACCAAAATTTTATGAGAAACGAGCTTTACTCATCTGTAATCTATATTATGTACTAGTATCAAGATATCAAAGATGAGACTTAAGTAGCTTACACCGTACGCATAAGACAACCGGTGAATCGAAGTATCTACAAATGTCTTATACAAAAATACATCGGGTCTAATCACACGTAAAATTAACACATATGAATGCGTCCGGAAATGGCTCATCACAAAATATCGTTAGATTCACTATAACAAGGGATAACTAAATTCTGACATAAGCTTGTACAACTTGGCATATACCTCGTTAAAGCACATACAGCATTTGGTTACTACGATTATATGATTCGAAGTGAAAATGTTTACTTTAATTAAACCCCATATTAATTACTTTATTACATCTCATGTAATTAAGTATTCACAGTCAGTGGACAATGGTGGTTCGTGAAAAAGCCAGGAAAACCAACGTTCTACAGCCCAGCTGAGATAAGAATGAAAACTACAACACAGCTTGTACTTGTGGGCATGACAATAACTTTTCGGTTGCGTGTCGAACCATCTGATCATTTTCGTGGAAATATTAGTTGATACGTTAGATGAAAATAAGATCGATACAAACAAGCAGATATTTCCGACGTTAACACTGGTGTTGCAAACTTAGAATACTAAACTATATCTAGTGATCATTCAAAGGGTTTAAGCATGATAAGTGTGTTTTTGGAAAATATACAACCTGCGACCATGTGACGCAATACAAGTAGGGAGCTACATAGATCATGTCTAAAACAATCTTTTATACTTTGTCCAAACGCATGCCACTTCGAGTTTCAACTATCAACCAGATTGTCAAGTATTTCTGACTTTCAAATAAGCGAGTTTTGCATCAATGATCTATGTATACATAATTATCAAAATCGAACTTGGATGCTAACTTTCCCGACGAAGTCGTGGAAAGTGCGGAAGTATTTAAAAATATCAAATTACAAAAAGAATCCAAAAATGTGCCCAAGGGATATCAATACATGGAAATTCATGATCCAAAGAAACAGAATACAAGCACATCAAGAGTACATTGGATGAATATATGAGACACTTGAATAATCTGAGGCCTATTTACAGTCCAACCCAACAACCACTTTTTATCAAATTTGTGTCAAAAGTATATTAAGTTCAAGTGCGTACGTTCTAAACATTCAAGACAGAATATCTTACACATGCTTCCAAACCACAAAGACGACTTTTCTGATGCATAGAATATAAGAGTGGAGGTAGTGAGTGATCATAATTGTATTTAAACTACTTTACGTAGATACTTATTTTAAGTAGCGATCATTTAAATGGGGACAAGACGTATCTTATTGAAAAAACAGAAATTATTAATTAATTTTCCACTAAAATATGTTTAGAATCAGTAATAGTAACGATCCATGGAGAATTGGCCACGACTTAGATCCATAAAATCACTACTGATATGCTTAAAGTGAAAAAATCATGGAGCATGATGACCATTGCTAGTGAACCTTAAGACTAACATGCAACACGAATACAAGAGAATACACAGGACCTATCAAATATTAAGTGAGATATTTTTTTGGATTATACGGCAGTTTAAAAATGACAAGTGGGTCAATCTAGACCCAAACCAACCACCTTGCTGTTTTTATAAAATTATGGTAAACATGTCGCCAAGGCAAATTTATTCAACCACATACTTTACATTGTCATTTAATGGATTAAGCAATCAGTGTTGACGCTGTGGAACTATCATACTTCCAGTTAGGCGGTAGAACTCTTTTTCTTTTGTAGTAGCGCGCCAAACGTTGGATACGGCTTTCAACCAGAATAAGTCTAAATTTACTGTCTTTATCCTTAGCATTCCTGCCTAAGTGTTTACGAATAGCAACTGCCTTTTTGACTAATTGGTACAAATCCTCTGGAATATCTGGTGCCAAACCCTTAGATTTCAGAATGCGAAGTATTTTGTTTCCAGCTAGCCACCTGACCTGAGCAACACCAAAGCTGTCACGCAGAATAACACCTAAATATGTAATATTACACAATAAGTAACTAACCAATTTGAGATGGTGATAATCCCTTTTTTGCTAACTTGTATATCTGCTCCTTTACTTCATCTGCTGTCATTTTTTGCCATCCTGGGACAGATCGTCTATAAGGCAAAGCACTTCTTGAAATCCCTTTTCCACCACTGTGCATACGACCCATCGTTGGCTATCACGCTTATAGTAACAGAACCCGCTGCTTTTCCAATTGCACTTAAGTGATTTAAACAAAAAACACAAAAGACAATTTACTTATTTTAGGATAACTTCAAGCAATGGAATGCGTGAATGAATGATAAAACCATAGCTTCACAGATTGTCAATCTTCTAAGTTACTTAAATCGACAATTATTTCGTAATTGATTAAGCTTTGTTGCATAGCACTCACGTGGCAAGTAATACTGAAGTTTAAAACTCGGTACCTTCAGACTGATGGTAAACTTTTGCTCAACAAAATGGACGAATCGCTAGAACTAAATAATGGGAATAATCCTCATTTGGTGGGCTTAGTTGAAAGATGAAGAACTCAAATAAGGGACCGTTGGATTGCTACACCCGCGATATCGTTTCTTCAAAACACCATGGAAGTTGAACTATGAGCTGAGTACAACTTAAGTATGATTTTATCCATAGAAGCAAATCATGCATACAATTAGGGGCTTGCTGATCCAATGTGCCTGTAGAGTACACAGTAAGATCATGTAAAACTTCAGTATTAGTTTAGTGTATATCGTAGCAAGCCTGTTGAGATACAGCATACAATCGGATGCTGCAAAAACCTGCTCTTTTACTCAGTCCATGGCATACTTATATCCTAACATTGAGAGACCTCAAACTGTCGATAGTCGACTTTGACAAACACACACAGTGAAGTAGATCATTCATTTAAAGCCTGTTTTACTAGCCTCATGGAAGTCGGCAGTTTGATGGAGTATCAGTCGAGGTGTGTCACACTTGAATTGTCCCTAAATCTCTAATTGATGTCATCTTATTCCTGGCTCTCTCAATAAAAACTGAAAGCATCATCCTGTTCTTGATTTTACTGACAAAACTTAGTTGAACACTGTGTGAATAACAGAAGCTGTAATTTTTAACTCTCATATGTGAAACGAAACTACACAAAACACACGTACAAAGTCAAAACTGAAAACGTGCTGCTCAACAGTCCTGATTATGCTTATGCTGATTATTCACACGACTCACTAAGAATGTCTGAATGTGTGGTTAGAATTTCGTAGCTCTATATATTCAAATAGTGCAACGGAATAGAAAAAGTTTTCGCTTAACAGGCTTCCGCGTCTAGTAGCAGGGGATCACCAATACCTCCAGGCAGGAACCTAGGTGTATTAACGATAAAAGAGGAAAAAGAAATTAGTAAATCATAGTAAGATTTTATCCTTAGTCCTTAAGAATATATCAAGTCGCCTCTTAAAGGACTCCTGGTAAGTTGCTTGGACTAGCTCAGCCGGAAGCGAATTCCAGCGTTTAACAACTCTTAAGGAGTAGAAAATGTGCCTGCAGTCCGTTCTGCTATGTTGTATCTCCAATTTCTGGGTGTTACCCTTTAGGTTAGTGTCCAGAAGTGTTAAGGATACTGTAAGTCATTAGGTCACCTCTAAGACGCCTATACTCCAATGGGTAAAGGTCAAGTAATTGGAGGCGCTCTTCATAAGGTTTAAGTTTGAGTCCCCGAACTGATTTCGTGGCTCGCTGTTGGATACGCTCCAGAGTGTTCTTATCCTTTTGGAGTGTAGGAGGGAGTACTATGTTTCCGAACTCTAAATAGGGACGAATAAAACTGTTAAAGATTATGTGGAAAGTTCTCCTGTCGAACTGACCAAAAATGCTCTTCACTGTTACCAATGCAAGGTTTGCTTGAAAGACATTTCTGTCCCAGTTAGCGTAAGACTTTAAGTCGTGGGGCACCAGCACTTCGAAATCATTTTCGACTCGGGATACTACTAGAGAGGAGTTTCCTAAGTTATGACTGTAGTCTGCGACATGTCGCAGATTGATTACTTTACACTTCGAAGTGTTAAAGGTAAGTCCGTTATCGTCTTCCCAACTTTGAAGTCGAGTCAGATCCTCCTGAAGTGCCTGTATATCGTCTTGGTTGCGTATCTGTCTTCAGTCTTCAGTAATAAGGATAGTAGGTTAGTGAACCTGTGTTAATCCTAACAGGTTGGCTTCCAGTGAAGGTCCAGTTTCTCTTTGAAAATATTCACTGATGGGGCTGATACCACTTGATCGGGCAAAGCGTTCCAATCATTGACTACTCGATGAGAAAAACGGAACCCCGCTTTGGGTTTATTAGATCGTGGTTTATGAACCTTCTTGCTATGACCTCGGAGATTATTAGTGCTGGAGGGAGCAAAAAGATAAGACATATTAACACCCAAATCATAATTAAAGATACGAAATGCCAGTATACGGTCACCTCGAGTCCTACGATACGACAAGGGGAAAAGGTTTAAGCGTTTTAAACGCTCATCGTAAGGGAGTTTAGAAAGACCCTTCACTAATTTCGTTCCCACACGCTGGACACGCTCAAGTGAGGTAGTATCCTTTATCAGACATGGGCTAGCTGCTTGAATACAGTACTCTAAATGTGGTCTTACATAGGTGGGATATAAAATTCGAAACATTTCCTCGTCAAAGGATTTGAACGCTCGACGAAGTGACCACAACGCACGAAAACCTTTGACAGCGGCTGCGTTGCAGTGCGCAGTTGTTTTTAAATCATGACTTATTATTACTCCTAAGTCTTTATGTTCTTGAACGCTTGGAAGAGGTTTACCATCAATAGTATAATGGTAACTATTGCCGTGACCGATGTGCATTAGCACACTCTTCCTAGAATCGATTTCTAAACCCCAATCTCGAGCCCATCTAACTAAATCGCGTCAACCTCCTTCAAAGATTAGTGTCATATGAGCCAGCTTCCAACTTTTCGTTAGTTTGCCTCGACTTAGCGAGTGTGAGAACATCACGCTAAGCGGTGTTGCCGGGATCGAAGCTGCTTCCCTCAGTATAGCAGAATAGACTATATCTGGGCCAGGAGAAGTGTCTGTTCTTAGATGCTGCAGTTTTCGGAACACCGAGTCAGCGCTCAGGTTCACTACGGAATGTCCTGTGCAGTTTCAGATGAAGCTGTCATCAGTATAGTTGATGTGGGTCGGTTGAGATGTCCGGAAGTATTGTTCAGCCAGAAGTTTGGCGGCGTCCCTGTCGTTATTGGTCGGGCCGTTAGAACCTAGCAGTTAGGAAACTCCAGTTCTGGCTTGACGAAGAGAGGCTGCATGGCGGAATAAGCTTTTCGGATTGGAGACAAATTTATCCATAAGCTTAATCTGGTACTGAAGCCTGTCTTATCTTGCAGCCATCGTTCATATGTTCCTTATATGCTTGTATTGCATGTGCGCGCCGTTGTCGTCAGTTCGTTTGTACTCTGCCAAACAGTGCTTTTTGCGGCTTAACAAACGAAGAGGTCGGTTCTTGATGATTGTAGGTTGCTTGTAGCTTTTGGGAACCGTTTGAGGAACTGACTGCTTTTTAGTACGTAAGAGAGTTTGCAGTAAGGAGTCCCGATGAGCATCCACATCAAGTTGAATGTGAACACCTCAATCCACCTGTTGTAGATAGCCCTGTAGAGTAGAAACATTCAACTATTTGAAATTCCAGCGCCTGTTATTGTTGGGATATCTTAGCTCAGTTTTGCTGACGAAACTGAAGGCTATAACGGCGTGATCGCTTTTCTCCAGGGGAGTCAGAATTGAGAGGTTGTCAACTAGAAATTCTTCGTTTGTAAATACACAGTCTAAGCGCGACGGTGTCTGACTGTTCCCCCAACGAGTAGCCGACTTCACATTTTCGTATAATCCCAAATCCTCAATGAGGTTGAAAAACCGAGCTTCAATTGAATTTTTACCACCGATATACTTACGTTCCGCGAAGTTGACTCTAGGGAGATTGAAGTCCCCTGGAATCAGGATATGAGTGAAACCGAGACGCTTACAGCGGGATAGTCCTTCCAGCATACGACTGTCGTACTCGATGTTGGCAGTGGGCTTCCTATATATGACTCCGACTAGGCACCTCCAATCAGTGGACAATCTCACAGAGCACCACACAGATTCATCAAGATTGTTAAACTCATGGTTGTGAACTTGGTGTACCTCCAAATAAGATCGTATGTATACGGCTACTCCACCCCAATTCCTGTTTTTCTGTCGTTGCGAAACAGAGACATCCCACGTATTGCTAGCTCCTGGTCCAAAAACTGAGAAGATATCCAAGTTTAAGATATTCCTATCAGTTGAACTTTATTAGCATTGCTAAGTTCGCGTAGCTCATCCATTTTGTTTGATAGACTCGGCGTTGATGTATAATCAGTTGATGCTTTAAATTTGAAACGCGTGAGGTTCTTTCTGTTTGTCTGTGAGAGCCTTACGTGAGTGGACAGGTAACTCACCTATATAAGTTTTGTCGACTTGGTAGGCCCTGTCCTTTACACGTTTTTTATCTTCAAGACATTCCACAAGTGGAATGGTCAGCTCCAACTTGCTTTTGTGCTTGAATCTGGCGTCATATGGCCTGTCCGGGTGCATGTGGATCCCAGTTGGCGACCGACGACTGTTGACACGAAATGCCTCCAGAGCTGCAGCCGCCATATGGGAGGATGGAAAAGTTATTCCCATTAGTCGGGGTCTAGGATCCCCATCCTCCTTGGCTAGTCTCGTCACATGCTGAGTCAGTATGTTTTTGAGCCTCAAGGACTGTTCGATGAATTTCCATTATCGAATGTCAGAGTTTGCTTGACTAGAGCCCGTGTTTTTCGGTACACCTTGCACGATGATATTTCTTCCGCGGAAAAACTTCTCTCGAGAATCTTTAGGGACGTTCCGGCTGAGATTGCTCTCAGAATACGGTACGTCGGGCAGTATTCTGACGTTCCCATCCGATTCCAGTAGATGACTAGCTAGCAGGAAATCCTCTACTTCGGTAGCATTCTTGAGTGTTACACGAAGTAGTCTCGGGTGATTTTGATGTTTAGATTCCTTTCCCCGAGTGAGCCGTGTGACCGTCAAAGGCTCTATTCTAGGAAGTTCGAGCTTTTTGTTCAGTTCACCCCAGAGCATCCTGTCGTTTTTGTCCTGCAAACTGAGAGGAAGGTCAGGGTTGTCTTTGAGGTTCATGATTATGAGAGAGTCATCA